TTTTGATGTTGCATTGTAATTTGGGTTGGCTGATTGGGTTGAGGTTTAAGAAACAACTAAGGAGCTTTATTTATTGAATAAAAAATATACTTCTTCTATTTCATAAAAATATAAGAAAAAATTAAATTTTAAAATAAGTGATTTTTTCTGTAATATGAATTATTTTTTACTTATATTCTTAATTAATAATATTGTATAAAAAATTATTATTGTATTACATTATTTATAATATAAAAAATTAATAATAAAGGTAATTTTATAAAAAAAATATATATATATATATTTATTAATTTTTTAATATTTATATAAAAAGATCTACATTGTAACATCATACTTTCTTAATTATATTTATTCTAGTAAATGTAATTAAATTAATTATATTTATTCTAGTAAATGTAATTAAATATGTTATTTTGTGTTGTTTTATTATTATAGCTTAAGAGCCTGAAAGTCAGTCAAAGAGCTGCTATATATGAGGTGAATTCTAAATAATAAATTTTATAAGTTCATAATTCTAAATTCTAGAGAGAAATTAGAGAGAGAAACTCAGAAGCTTGAGAAGATCTCTTCTTCTCAGAGACTTTTTGAGGATGTTGTGAACCTCCTTAAAGCTCAATCATAGGAGTGGTACAAAAATTCAAGGTTCAAAAGGCTGAGAATAAAGTTGTGGTGATTTTGTGCAAAATTTTCTCAAAGCTTGGTTTCTTCTTCCTTCTTCCTCATTCTCTTTGAACTCAAGGCAAGGGAAGTTGGATCCTTGATTTCCAAATGGATTGTTTGGGTGTTTATAAATTTGTAAAGTTGAATGTTATTTAACTCCTGTAAATTCATGGTTGTGTTGGTTGAGTTTTAATAGAGTGCATGTTGAAAGTTGGGGGTTTTGGTGGAGAAGAAAAGGTTGGATGATCTATTTGGTGTGTCATTGTTGCATGTCTCATTTCATTCAATTTATGAGTTTCATGCATGTATTGTTATGAGTTGAGAGGATTTGAGGTTGTTATTGAATTGTTGAGTTTTTCTTGAAGTCATGCATGTTTTTTGGGTTAGGTCACCTATAGCATCCATGGGGGTTGCTCCAAGTGAGCCTAGGTGGTTATTAGGGATGCTCTCTAACTTGGGTTGCTTAGAACGAGTTTTGCTTGCTCCTAGAGAATTATGGTTGCTCTGGGCAAGCTGTTTAGTCACTGTGAGCTAGCAGTTGATAGCTCTCAACTAGCTATTGGTAGCTCCAAGCTAGGTGTAGCTTCGAGCTAGGTGTTTATTGGTAGCTTCGAACTAGTTGTTGGTAGCTCCAAGATAGGTGTTGGTAGATTCGAGTTAGGAGTTGGTAGCTTCGAGCTAGGTGTTTGATGGCTCTGAGCTAGGTTTTTGGTAGCTTTGAGCTAGGTGTCGGTAGCTTTAAACTAGGTGTTTGGTAGCTTCAAACTAGGTGTTTGGTAACTTTGAGCTAGGTGTTTGGTAGCTTCAAGTTGGGTATTTGGTAGCTTTGAGCTAGTTGTTGGTAGCTCCGAGTTATGTGTTTGGTAGCTCCAAGTTAGGTGTTGGTAGCTCCAAGCCAGGTGTTGGTAGTTCCGAGCTAAGTGTTTAGAGTTTTGAGCCAGGTGTCTAATAGTTTCGAGCTAGTTGTTGGTAGCCTTGGGGTACTTGGAGTGCTTATTTTTCATTTTACTCGTAATCTTCACATATGTTGTTGTGTTGATTGTTTTAAATGGTGTATGATGATGATTGAATATGACTTTTTATATATTGAATTATGATAATGCATATTAATCATTTAACTGTTGATAGTTAAATGTCATAGGATGATGTGGGTTCTATATATATTGATTTGGAATGATATATGTAGATGGTTGTATGAGTGACAATGATGATGGATATTGATACTATAGTTGTATAGACATTTGGTATGCCTTACTTGATTTGTATGTTATACTTGAATGGTTGAACTCCTGATAGACATTGGCATGTTATTCTTGGATGAGTTGTCTAACATTGGTATGCTATGTATGATGATGTGACCTGAGGTAATGTATATAGATGATATATGTTGAGGTGTTGATGTTGAGAATATTGTAGGCATTAAAGTATGTTGATTGACTTAAGACTAGAGGAAAAAGTGTTGTTTGAAAGTTAAAGATCCTATATATAGAATATTGTTTTGGTGCTCTAGAAAGCCAATTGTTGAAAACCCGCCTTAAGTAGGAGTGAAACTCTCAGAATGAATTTTTGTTGAGTTTCTTTTAGGTCCTTAGTCAATGTAGAGTAAAATATGAAGTCGATGACTACAACCCTTAACTGATTACTAGAAAGGTTGTGTGGTTCCTTATAGATAATTAATGGACTAATTTCATATGCGACTTGATAATGTATGTTAAGATTGTGGTATGCCTATACCAAGTTATATTATTATTGCTTGTGGAATCAAACTTTCCTAGTGTAAATGGAAACACTTGAAATATCATAGGAAGGATTAATACCCCATTTTAGTTGTGGGTCCAACATATGCGTATGGTGTGGAAGCGATTAAGGTTGATTTGGTAGGATTAAGTCACTTAGACTATTCTAGTTACTAAGAGATTTTTGTAGGTGAATGCGTGACAATGTATTATATGTGATGTTTGCATATGATGTGACGTGAGTTGATAGTGTTCATATGCATGATGTGAATTCCTTGAGGTATGGTATTATTATGGTGAATGTTTGGATTTGCTTGGGTGTTTAGCTTTTAGACATGATGGTGTTATGTTGTTTGGTGGAAGTTGTAGATCATATGGTGTATTTCTGGTTGGTTTACATGTTGAGTAGTATAGATGTTCCTTTCTATACATGTATATTTTTGAAATCTATCTTACCTTTAACTGTTTTTCATGTAGTTTGAACTACGATGATCATGATTTTCATAAGAGTTGCAGGGAGGTCATGTTGTTGGTGATGTAGTCAACGACTACTTTTATTTATCTATATAGACATTGTTTGACCAACATCTTGAGATTTTATATTTTGTACTTATCGAATTAATGTACATATATTTGTATAGTTGCTTTAGTTGTATCCACACATATATTTGTTATAGTGCACATATTCTAATATTATAAGTATATAATCCCAAGTAATAGTTGTATTTCTATTGCTAAAAGTAATTGATTCGTAAGTATGATAATTATGAGTTGTTATAGCTATGAAATAAAGAATAATTAAAACTCAATATTTATTCTATAGGATAATAATAATAATAATAATAATAATAATAATAATAATAATAATAATAATAATAATAATAATAATAATAATAAATATATTTTAACTGTTTATAGATGTAATTATAAGCCGTTTAGGCCAAATTAGATTAATTTTTTTTAATATATATCTTTCCTCTTATATTTTTGTTGTTTTAATTATGTTTTTATCATGTTACTTGATCTACTTGAAAGAGCCTATTAGTATTGGCAATTTTTTGTTGTGAAAGTATGAACGAGCAATTTTTTTAACATAATGTTATCACTCACTTCAAGTCATGTGTTTTTTCTTTTTTAAACTAACAATTCTTTTCAATAAAAAAGAATCTAATGCCAAGTTACAAAAATTGTTTATAAATTATTATCACATAATATATTATTATTTATTTTTATCTTACTAATTATATACTTTATAAATTTATTTAACTTATTTATTGAACTTTTGTATTAATTTATTGGTGGATTAAAAATTGTAAAACAATATTTTGATAGTTAACTATATGAGACAGTTTTTTTTCTTATTATAATATTCAAGATATATCTATATTTCTAAAAATAAATATTTACTTGTATTATCATTACTCCTGCACGAAATAACTATTAACAAAGACGTGTCTTCATCATACATGTGGGGCAACCCTCACATTGAGTATTGAGCAACATCCGAATTGACATTCACTGTGTCAACCTACCCGATAAAATACAGTAAATTATGTAGATGGAGTAGTGCTTAGGGACAGATTAACTTTTTTTTATAAATTATTTTATTCATTTTTTAAAAATAAACTAAACTCAATAGTTAATCTACAAAATAAACTTTTTTTTAGCCATAAATTAAAAAATATTTTAGATGACACTTATTTTTAATCCCGGCTCAAATGCAATCATATTAATGAACAGTAACTTAAAATGTTCATCAATTAAATGACTATTTTAATTTTTAAAGTGAAACAAAAAAAAAAAACTAAAAACATGTATGGGTTAATTTACTTGGAATTTTTTCATATAAGAAACACATGAAAAATTGGCTTATACAAATTTATAATGTTTTTTAATTAACTAATATATTAACTTTATAAACCAATTTTAATTTTTTAATACTTTTAATAAAATAAATATTAATTCAAAATATTTATAAATACTTATCTCATAAAATATTTTTTACTTTAAAAAGCAAAACAAAACTCGTCGCCACTTGCGGTTCTTATTAACTTTTCTATATATAAAAAAAAGTGAAATATAGTATTTGAAATATGAAATGTCATATTAATATTAAAAATACGATTGTTTAAAAAAATTTATGTCGTTAAGTAATAAAAAATCATGATAATAATGAAAATTTCAAAGTAATTTTTATAAAATTAAGAAACTTATATTCTCGGTACATTTAAATTAAATTAAAATAAATGAGACCAATTATATTAAATTTTTAAAAACAAAAAGTTATTCTTTTCTTTTTTTTTTGGTCTCTGATAAATAAAAATATTGATCATTAAAAATTAAATTAATTATTTTTTATCCGTTTAGAAAGAAATAATATTTTTTTTTCTTTTACGACTGCAGTACAAGATTAAAACAGTGTTTTGTTTTATTATTTATTTATTATAAGGTTTAGAATAAAATACTACTAGTATTTTCTGTAACATTACTTTGGTGCAGAATAAGAAAACGTGTCTTGATTTTACTGGAGGGGACAAGGACAGCCCTTGATGAAAATACTACTAGTATTTTGAATGGGCTACACTTGTACAAATGAAAGAGTGCCAAATCATGGAATAGAAACTTTATTTGACAAAGGGAGCGAGCAATGATGTGTAGGTATAATTATAAATAAATAAGAGAGGAGTGAAAGGTGATGAAGAATTGTGAATTAAAATGGCGTATGGTAGAAGCACAGCGTCCTGTGTGTTGGACGGTTTCAGTCTGAACCCCGTGCCCTACCCTGTTCTGCTAATCTTATCACTCATCCTCTCATTCCTGGGCATTTCGTGGTACTTGTCGTACGAGGAAGTGGTTGAAGCCGCCGAAGAACAAGTGGGTTGGATGCTGTTAGCCACACCCGTCCTGCTAATACTCATAGTTCGTTGGTTATCGTCCGTGGATACTTCAGATTGGTTCTTTTTCAACTCTTCCCCATGGGAGAGGCGCAGGACAACCCACCATGAGGGTGCCTCCCCTTGGGCTGTTGCTGCTTTGATCCTCCTCGTTCTTCTGCTTCTGCACTTTCACTCCACTTTTCTTGATGCCTGGTTTCTTTAATTTTCCCTTCTGTTTTCACTTCCTTAATTTCTCTTTAATTTTATTACTACTTTTTCATATTATAGACTATAGAGAAAGGACAGAGTAACTTCCTTCAAAAGCTTGTGATTATTGTATATGTGTAGATTATGGTGCTCTATCAATATGAATTGGGTTCTAGTCTTCAAGGTGCTTTGTGATGATGGATGTATCCCTTTTTCAAACAGACAAAAGAAAAATAAAATATTCTTTCACAATTTTTTTGTTAAAGAAAATACGAAACTAATGATTCCAATCAAAAACTATATTATAATCGAAACAACCTAACTAAGGTTTCTTACTTGGGTTACTTAAGATACCTGTATTAGTGGACAAAACTTGATCCAGTATTTCTGCTGAAAAGTTGGGGGAACAAACGCGAATGTCGTGCATTTGTCACTTTAGTTTTAAAATAAAGTAATTCGGCATAATTAGTTTCTTGAGACATGCATATTAAATTTTTCTTCGCTGAAATAACCGTGTTACAGGTAGGAAAACTTTGTCCTTATATTCCTTAGACAAGTGATGTTATAGAAGATTGCTTGACATATGCGTTATTAAAGTATATTTTGAAAGCCACTTCTTTATCATTAGTTAATCTACGATCTTTGAGAAAGGAAATAACACAGCGAAAAAGACAAACCATCTACTTTAAAAAATATATTTTATTCTTAACTGTTAAGTAAACTTTATAATTATTTAAATTAAAATTTAAGGAGCAACCATTCCCTTTTAGCATGATCCTCTGCATGCTTTTCCCTTTATTATTTAGTATATATTTGAATATCAATTTAAAATTATGTTTAACGGAAAAATGCATATTTTATTATAAAAAAGTAAAAATTTGTAAGTATAACTTTTTTTTTTCAATCTCAGTTGAATTGAATTCAATTGAGACATTCTAATATGTTGTCTTCTTTTTCTTTTTATTTTTTGAGAAAAATCAACAAAAGAAAGTATTGTATCTTAAGAAATAAAATATAAAAAGTTAATGAATTGGAGTTTGATACATCTATTTGAGTCTTTTACTCAAACTAACCGTGATTTAAATTGGATTACAATGGTAGATGATATACAAATTTCATTATAAAGTCTGACTGAAATTGGCATTTTTTTCCTAATCTAAGTATCTAAAAAGATAAAATATAAAATGTCACTAGCGACACATTAATTTATTTTTTACACAAAGAAATGAAGAATATGACGAGACAAATTAACCAAACCCCTGTTGGTGTGATGGTCTGAATGAGTGAAAGTTGAGCCTTGCGCCAGTAGCTGAATACGAAATGATGAAGAACATCAAGAGTACGGGCAAGAAGAAGAGGAATAGCTGAAAGTTGATGGCTGTGGTATGAAGCTGAGCCTTGTAGTCTTTGTAACGGGAGAAGGACAACAAGCCAATGACAATGCCGAATATGGTGAGCAAATGGCCCGGAGGGGCAGAAACATTGGCCATGGTACCACTCTGTTTCCATTCTGGACCCCTTCTCTTGGGGTGGAATCGCTCCATTTTCTCCTCTTTTTTGGTCTCACCTCACCAAGCCTTTATGACCCAACCAGTCTCCATGCTTTTCATATAAGTTTGGGTTTGGCATATGTTCTTTGAGTGTATGACTTGTGTCCGACAAACATCTTAATTAGTTTGTGGTAGTGTGCAACTGTAGGATGGTAAGGTATCTTGTGAATGAACGCCGAATTACCAAATTAACTTCTTCAACAAAATTAGATGATTCAATCATGCATAAGCATAATTCTCATCACCAAGGTTAAACTCATATTTGTTTCGATTTGAAATAATTTAGTCCTCGACTAAAATCAGAATATTTAAAAGTGTATTTTGTCTTTCTTTACTCTAAGATTAAGGTTTTTATATTTGACTACTTATGAGTTTAATAGTCCCGAAAATTTTAAAATTTGATAAGGTAGTTACTTATTATTGAGTATTATATCTTGATATGTAATCTTGACTATTAACAACAAGATTTTGTTATTGGATTAAAGAGTTGGGCCAATTCCGACATCCCTTTGACATACTTGATCAACTATGTATCAGATACAAGGATCATATTCATATTGACTACTCCATGTTCCTAGTTTGATCAATTAATTATTAGGAAGAGGTCAAATTTGTTCCGATCACCTCTAATTTTGGCCTAATTAAAAGATATCCAAAATGTAGGTCAGTATCCAAATATTTCCAATATGAACTCCAATCGGAATAATCATATTGAAATATATTTGAGAGAATACACTTGTCCACCAACCCCAACCTGAAAGGTGCAAGGGTTAGGTTGTGACACTCTCCTCATAATTCATGTCAAAATATATTTGAGATGATAAACTTGTTTACGAATCCCAAGCCTAAAAGGCATAGGAGTTAGTCTTGACGCTCTCCTTATAAATCATATTGAAATATATATGGGAGAGTACAATATTAAATTGTCAAATAATTGTTTCTATCACAACATATCCTATAGAAATCCTTCTATATTATTGTATTTAGGGTCATTAGAAACCTTGTCCATTTAAGAATTTTTAAAAGATATTTTTGGCTCTCTTATGTTGTTGTGTCCATTTCTCTCTCGATTATTAAAGAAAAAAAAAAAAGAGATTGACATAGTGAGAGAAATGAGAGAATAAATAACTAGAGACACTATTATCAAATTTAATTTTTATTTGTGTTAAAATGTTTGATTAATAAAAATCATATCCTACGAGCAAAAATCAGTTAGATACTATATGAGTTATGTTCATGGACAAAAGAAAATATATTATATTTGATCTTTTATATAAAATAATAAATAACTAGTCAATAGTCAACAAAATTAATTTAATTAATTAATTTTAATTACTGATGTGTCATAAATTTAAATTAAATGACAATAAATGCACCTAATTCAAAATAATGTAAATAATAATTATATTTAATGATATTACTCCTTATTCAAAAAAATTAACAATCAATGTCCCTTGTATCATTGATAAATAATAAATGAATTTAGTTAAATGAAAATTAAGTAATACTTTTTAAATAAAAAGGTGTATCCCAATTTTTATTTTTTAAAAAAATAAAATGAAAGAAGTTAAATTTATTTATCAATTTTATCATAGAAATATAAATAGATTGGTAAAATCACCATCTAAGGCTAAAATTGTGCCGAATAAATAGCACATGTTTAAATTTATCGCACAACAAAATATATTACAAATAAAACTTATTAAAATATCTATTACATTATTCATAACTTTCTTTCAAATAGATGACCATTTTTTTCTTCAAAATTTAGTGTTAAATTATTTATATTTTATACAATACTTTATATTAATATAAAATTATTTTATATCATATTTATATATGAAAATTGTCATATATATATAATATTTAAATATATTAAATATAAATAATTTGATTATTATAATTTAATTATTTTTAATAAAATTTAAGATAAGCATTTGAGATAATATAAAATTATAATAAAATAATTGAATTCATAAAATTTATTTTTAGTATAAAGTTAATAACGCGAAATAGTCTTTCATCTTGTATTGTATTGTGTTTATATAAAGAACAAAAATTCTTCGACATTTTTATCATTTAAAATATAAGTCATGCATAAGAATTTGATAAATTTGAAGAGTAGAGGTGTTGATTAGGCTAAGTTTGTGTAGTATAATTGTTTTTACTAGAGATCTGCTGTAGAGATGATCTGCCGAGTAAGATTGGTGAGCCTCCTTTACTGGTACGTTGGTATTCCAAGATGGGGGTGATACCTGCAAAAGAGACTCCGATGCTAAAGTTAGGGTTTGTGTGAATATGAGTCTTGTATAAGTAATGCACGTACCTTGGTGTGAATTAGGGTTTTGTTGGGCCTTGGGCCCGAGATCAGTTTATGACCTAATTGGATAGCGAGCCGATGTCGCCTAGCGCGTGTCCGAGGTCGCTTCGCGCTGTGATGCCGAGCTTGAGCTCGGCATAGCGGTACGGATAGTACACTAGCCCCCCGAGCTCCGAAGACCGTAGGTCGAGGAGTTAAGACAGAGCTCGACAAGGGGTCATGACTTTTCGCGTGCGCCTATTTGTCATGACGCCATGTGTCATAACCGTCACCTCGTTCCCATAACGCGTGGGCGGCGCGGTGACAAGATTGTATTTTTATTTGTTTGATGATGTGGCCTCTTTGGACCGATGTGGTGTTCCGATGTCCATGTTTCTTGGTCGGGATGAGGAGCTCGGCAATAATGAGCTTACTGCTTGGTTAGGCTGGTAAACCTTTAACCGAGTCAGAAGATTAGTGAGGGACAAGTCGGCAACTCGGCTGACCAGTACACTTGCCCCCCAAGCACCGAGTGATGTAAAAGCAAAGGGGCTTCTGAGGAGTTCCCAAATTTGTTGTTTGAAGGTTCAAATTCGACCTTGTTAAGTAGATGTGATCTCAAGGTTCGGACTCGACCTTGGCATATCAAGGTTCAAACTCGACCTTGGTTAAGAAAATGTGATCTCAAGGTTCGGACTTGACCTTGGCATATCAAGGTTCGAACTCGACCTTGGTTAAGAAAATGTGATCTCAAGGTTCGGACTCGACCTTGGCATATCAAGGTTCGAACTCGACCTTGGTTAAGAAAATGTGATCTCATGGTTCGAACTCGACCTTGGCATCAAGGTTCGAACTCGACCTTAGCAAGTCGTCATGGTTAATGTGCCAATACCGAAAATGTATGGGAATGGAGTTGCTTTGTTGATTTATTTCTGAGGTGTGCCTCGTTAAAACCTTCCTTGGCCAAAAACCCTTTTCTTTAGTGGGAAAAAAGGCTGAGGAGGAAAAAGAGTACATCACTTGAATTTACAAGTTAAGAGAAATAAAATTTGAGGTGGGTGGAATTCCAAGTTCCAAATTTTCCTTTGGAGGGGTCTGTTCTTACTTCTCCCAGTAATCGCCAAACAAGGTCGCCAACTTTAAATGTTCGTGGCCTGACCTTGGTCTTGCTTTCCTTGTGGTTTGTTGCGAATTTCCTTGCGAAACTCGGCATGCTCCTTCATCTGGATGTACCCAGTAGCGCGAGCTCGGAGCTCGTCCATGTCGGGAGGGGGTCGTCGGCAAAGGCTGTCGACGAAAGGTCCTGGCTTCAACGCCATGAGCATGGAGTGCAGTGCTACCTCGGGGTTCAGATTCTGGATCTTTACCGAGATGGCGGCGAATCGTTCCATGAACGTTCGGAGTGGTTCATCGTCACCCTTTCGAAGACTGGCCAGGGCAGCTGATGTTATGTGATGAGGTCGGCTCGTCGCATACTATGCTGTGAACCGTCTGACCAGGGTGTCGAAGCTGTCAAGTGACTCGGCAGGTAGCTGGGTGTACCCGTTGAGCGCGGCCCCTTTGAGTGAGGTTGGAAGAACCCTACACAGAATAGCATCGTTATTAGTGTAGAGGTTTACCTGCGTTGTATACAGGTCGATGTGCTCATCCGAGTCCGTCGTGCCGTTGTAACGGTCGAGGTGGAGAGGTTTCCATCCGTGAGGGAGCGGCGTCTCCATGATGCCATCTACGAAAGGGTGACGGCGGAAGGTTGCTTGATCCCCCGTGACATGAGTAGGGGCCTTGCTGAGTTCATGGGCCGACTTGTTCGTCGGTGCATGAGACCGATGCGTGGCAAGTCGTGGAGTCGGTGCCCTAGTCACAGTTCGGGGCTGAGAGACTGAATGCCCTTCTTCCTCGTGGAGGTTGCTCGCCTCAGGAGGATGATCAAAGGGGCGTCGAGGGAGCTGGGCGCGAATCCGCTCATTTTCAGTGCGTAGTGCCGCTAGATCAGCTTCATTGGCGGTCCGCATTGCGGCTAGGTCGGTTTCGTGCTTGGCACGCATGTTTTACAGATCGACATCGTGTTGTTGCCGCATCTGTTCGACCTGTTCGATCAGCCTTGTCAATGCCGCTTCGTTGTCCATGCTTGTCGTGCGATCTGTGTCGTCTGTTGCGCGTCTACTATGGCTTCGGGTGAATACCATAAGCGTGGCCGATAAGAGCTGTCTTGATCGGCCCCACGGTGGGCGCCAAATGTTCTTACCAGAGATCTGCTGTAGAGATGATCCGCCTAGTAAGATTGGTGAGCCTCCTTTACTGGTACGTTGGTATTCCAAGATGGGGGTGATACCTGCAAAAGAGACTCCGATGCTAAAATTAGGGTTTGTGTGAATATGAGTCTCGTATAAGTAATGCACGTACCTTGGTGTGAATTAGGATTTTGTTGGGCCTTGGGCCTGAGATCAGTTTATGACCTAATTAGATAGCGAGCCGATGTCGCCTAGCGCGTGTCCGAGGTCGCTCCGCGCTGTGATGCCGAGATCGAGCTCGGCATAGTGGTACGGATAGTACAATAATTAAATTTATACAGGTTGAATATTATTTTAAGTTAAGCTGATCTGACCTATATTATTTTTGTATTATCATTTTTTGGTCCAATATGACTCATGTCGGACCATCAAGACAAATTGACTTAATTAAAAAATTAAATATAATTTAAAAAAAATTATAATAAAATTAATTGATACTAGCTATATACTAGTTACAAATGAGTAATCATTCAATCACATTTATATAACTTTAAGTAGTCATAGATGTTTATATATTAGAAGTCAAACATATTCTACCTTAAATAGTAGTTAACAATTTTTTTAGATTTTATTTTTTAATTAAAAATATTTTATTGCAATCAACTGTTGAAGTGTTTTTACAATTGAGTTTAAAATCAAGATTTAACACTTTATTTATTACCCAAATCCTCCAAATTCAACATAAATATATGAAAGATCAGGCTTGATAATATAACTAACAAGTACATCTCTATAAGTCTTAGGATCAAATTTCACTACTTCAATAAACTTTGTTATTCAACATGACTCAAATATCTTGGTACTTAGTAGATCCAATACATTTAATAATATAATGTCTTAAATGATTGATACCTAGAGCTGTCAAAACAGGCCAACCCGGCCCATGTGGGCTGGCCCACCTTGACCCACTTTAAAAACGAACCAACCCAACCCAGCCCACTTGTGATTTTCTATAAAAAAAATTGGTCCGGCCCGACTCACCACGGGTTGGTGAGTTATACAGGCCAGCCCACCAACCCACCAAAAATTAAAAAAAAATATCAACAAAATTCAAAATTTTAAATTAATTATAAATTAACATAATAGTCATAAAATTAACATCATTAATACTCATAAGTCAATATTCATCGTACAAAATTAAATACAAATCATGATAAAAGTCTAAAATAAAAATTTTCAATATCTCATCATACAAAATGGAAAAAATTACTTATTTTAGTGAAATTTGGAGGGAGTCTCAATAAATGAGATATAAGATGCATAAAATCTACGATTTTCAATTAGTTTCTGTCGATAATAAATATAGTGTTAGAAAGAGTCTTAAAATTTTTAACTATATATCATTTTCAGTAGTTGATGCTCATGTTAGGAGGATTAGCGTTTAGCAGTAAACAAAAGCATATATCAAGAACTGAACCAGAATTCCCAAGTGGCTGATTAATTCAGCGATAACAATTGCTTAATTAACACAACAATTGTAGCTGTATGTAAGTTGAATATATCTGTGCATATCATTAGACACCAAAGAGAGTCCAATGGAAGAAAAACAGGTAGTTTAATCGCAATGATCATTAAAGTGATATTTGGAAGTGACACATCACACGGTCGCAATTAACGATATGAAAGATCGTCATGGGTAGAATTTCATTGCAATTGCGACACAATGAAGTTGCTCTCCACGGTCACTGAGACCAACAGCTTAAATTGTTCATCGCACATTAGAGACTGGGGAATAATTACAATTTACAAACTCTGTAAAAATCGTCACTTGCCTCGGTATTCAATGACATAGTTATATCGTTATAGTTATAAACTTATAGTGTTTATGTATTCTAGCAAAAAATCCCAGCAGCTTCATATAATTCGAGCGCTTCCTGTTTTTCTTCAATTAAATCCATGTGGCGCTTCACATGGTTTAATTGAGACTAACAGATTAAAGATCAACTAACGACAATAACTAATGTCTACTCTGACATCAAGTTTGAATAACTGATGCATGTGTCGTAAAATTGATAGAACAGATTAAATCACTAAATGTGATGGGGTGTCGTAAAATTGAGTTGGCTCAGGTGATCGAGGGGGATATACAGTCTAACGTTCTTAAATGTACAAATCAATGGAACATAAATTTGTACTACTACTAGCACCCCGCCCTTTTTTATTTTCGTTTTTTAAAGTATTCTTTCACTTCCTAGACATAAACCCTTTTTCTTCGAGACAATATGTGTTAAGTAACAAATTATATCTGAAAAAACCTTTCCAATATAGAAAATACGAGTCACCTCTCTTTTAAGGGGATTTTTTTTATATATAAAATAATAGATATTGAAGATGACATCTATAAGACTATCAATAAATGTGGAAGTTACATATACATTTTAACTAATAATAAAGTAAAAGTCGGAAATTACTTGGGCTCCCAACCAACCTTAATGTAACATAACCAGTTTTTTTTTTGTTCTTTTGGTTAAAAAAAGTGAACAATTAAGTAGCTTGTAATATTGTACAAATGTTTATTATAACTTTTTGGTAGGTTGAGACAGATACTGTACATAAATCTACATTTAGCATGCGGTTGAGGACTGATGCATTGAATGATAAAAGTCATTTACTGCTGGCTTGCACGTTAATATCATTTCCCTTTAAGCATCCAAGTCACGTAAGGGCCACTAGCCCCACGTACGTGCCTGCTTGATTAGGAGTCGGTGAGCCATCCAAGTATGAATATGATTGTTATAAATTAAGCTTGGGAATCTCAATCTGCATCTCTCAATTCCAAGACTGCCTCATTCTTCTGTTATTGTTTATTGGCATTGGGATCCATATAACCGCAATTATATACCAATGCGAATTTTCATGGAGCGCCAAGGAGCACTTGCGTGCCTCTGGTTGTTGTCTGTGTTTTTAGTGGTAAGAGGCCTCAACAATGGTGACCACAGGACAGTCGAGGTAGTTGGCCTAGGAGAATGCGCGGACTGCAGGGAGAACAATATTAAGACTAGTCACGCTTTCTCAGGTACAATATAAGTTGTCTCATAGTGGTACATTGAATATGTTATATGTATTGAAAATGTTAATTAATTATTTCATATACATAATATTGTTTGTAGGGTTACGTGTAACGGTAAATTGCAAGTCACCACATGGAGAGTTCAGAACGAGAGGGGTTGGTGCCCTTGATGAATATGGAAACTTCAAAGTATCCCTTCCACAGGACATGGTAGAAGATGGTGAGCTAAAAGAAGATTGCTATGCCCAGCTGCATAGTGCATCAGCTGAGCCTTGCCCTTCCCATGGCAACTCCAAAATAGTGACAAAGTCAATATCTGATGACAAGAACAAACACACCCTTGGACCAGCTGCTGGAAAACTCAGATTCTCGTCAGCTTTGTGCACTTCAGCCTTTTTCTGGCATTTCTTCAAACACCCTAACTTCCCCTTCCCTCCTAAAGACAATGGGAAGCCACCTGTGGCAGCAGTGCCAGTGAAAAAGAAACCCCCAGCAGCAGTGCCAACGTATAAGAAACCTCCTTCTACTTCTACTCCATCTCCGGTTGTAAAGAAACCATGCCCACCAAAGAAAAAGACACCTTCTCCCACTCCCATTTACAAGCCACTTCCTCCTCCAACTCCCATTTCCGATCCCCCTCCCACTACGCCACCATTTTTTAAATTCTTCCCTCATCCTTTCCAATTCAAGAAGCAGCCCTGTCCACCTCTTCCCAAGATGGAACCTCCAAAGTACTTTTACCAACACCCTTGGTTTGGAAACTGGCCTCCCTCTCACTCATAAGTCATAAACTATATTGGAGTGTAAGACGCGTACTTGCATCTTTTCTATCTATTACTTTTGTGTTACCAAGGACGTACGTTGAGATTGATTAGTTCCGAATAAAGTCCATATCCGTGGATAGAGAATGTCAGCTATGAGAATAGAGAAAAACAAATGATGAAGCAGGGTCGTTTAGTTTGAGGTTTGTTGATCAAGTTGAATGTGTTACGAGTGAAGATTTATCTGTTGATGTTGTAGACGTATATATAATATAAATGCTTTATGAACCATATTCATCATATCTATTTTGTTTTTGTAACGTTATTCCTGCTGCCTAAACTGTTAGGTTGACAATGAAGACGGTCATCTCTCAATGAGTGCTGAGTGTACTTGTGATGCAAGGCTGCTAATAAGTAATAATTTTGATTAAATATATTTTTTAATTTTTTTAATTAATTTTACTCCATAAGTTTTTACCAATTTTTATTTTTATCCTTTAAATTTTTTCTTCGATTAACATTTTGGTCCCAGACATAAAAATTCATTGTTTATAAAGGATAATTTTAGGAACTACAATCTTTTAAAACTAAAGGAAAATATAAACTTTTGTTAATTAATTAACAAAAGTTTAGGAACTACAAACATATTTAATCTTAATAATTTAACACATTTTTTTTTCTAAATTACTTTTATCCATACTTTTCCTTCTCATTCTATAATTAATAATATTCTGTTTTAATATTTATACGTATCATTTTAATATTATTATTGTATCTGTTGTTTATTGCTATAAGAAATAAAAAGGAAATTTATTAATTTATAAAATAAATAAAAGTAAACAAAAATTAGATATATATGAACTAAAATATAAAAAAAAATAACTATAAAGGTTATTATATAATTTATGACACTATAGGACGACAACAAAATAATTAAACCTTGACTTTTCTTTGCTACAACAATTAGGACTAACTTAAAATACTACTCAAATTTCTCATCACTAAATTAACTTGAAATTTTTAAATTACTTAATTAGAATATGTCAGGTGTAAAAAAATATATATGTCAATGTGCTTTTATATTGATATTTTACGTTTATTATAAAATTAATTCTTCTGAGAGTAGAAGTGGAAATTTTTTTATCATCGTACATAAGAGGAAATATGACTAATAGTAAATTAAAAATAAAAACACGAATAATAGTAAACTAAAATTAAAAACCCGAAACAACTTAGAGATATTCAAGTTTTTATTTTAAATTTTTTTAAAAAAATACTAGCTCTTAAAATAATCTAATAAAAAAATCATTTTTAAAACAAAATATTTAAATAAAAACAAGGAACAAGTTGGACGGGTCCATCAAGCTAATGGCATGTTTGAGCCTAATAGATATTATTTCGATATATTTAAAAAGTCAAACGTTTTTAAGTAGTGTTATTTCTTATTTAAAAAAGTTAAGAATGAATTAATTTATAGTTTATCTTTCTTCTCAGGAAAGACTAGTGAAATTGACAAAAGAACTTATTAAATTTCATAAAAATAATACTAATAGTATCACATGTTTGATTGTAAACTTTTTATAATTATTTATGTACTGACCGTACCCGGGTTCCGAGCCCGGATTAGCGATACAAAGTCATCCCGGGCACACGCTGAGCGACATCAGCTCGGTATTTGGGCAGATCATTCCCGAATCCGGGGATCTCGTCCCAGATCAGAACCGCCTCCAATTATATCATATCATATCTCATCATATCATATCATATCATATCATATGATATCTTATCATATCATGTCTTATCTTATGCCCAAGGCCCAAGACAACCCTAATTCACACAAAGGTATGTGCATTATTTATACGAGACTCATACTCCCACAAACACTAACTTTAGCATCGGAGTCTCTTTTGCAGGTACCACCCCCATCTTGGAGCACCAGCGTACCAGTGAAGGAGGCTCGCCGATCTTACCCGGCGGATCAGCTCTACAGCAGATTTCCGGTAAGAACATTTGGCGCCTACCGTGGGGCCGATCAAGACCAGCTCTTATCGGCCATTCTTATGGTTTTCACTAGAAGCCATAACAGACGCGCAACACACGACCAAGATCGCTCAACTACCATGGATAGTGATGCAGCAACATTGAGGAGGCTGATCGACCAGGTCGAACAGATGCGGAAACAACACACCGCCAACCTATAAAGCATGCGTGCCAAGCACGAAACTGATCTAGCAGCAA